GTTTTGGCGGTAACATGAACGTGGGCAACTGGCAGGTTCTGAGGCAGAAAATGTAACCCCAACATTCAGATACGGAAATTTGTATGAAATGTAATTAATAAATAACATGAAGCCGCGGCTGCTGACTGGCTTGACGTTCACCTATGGGTCTACACGTCTTCGGTTCTAGTCCTCCCCGTGTGGGTTCTGGGTCCCATTGTGAAAGTGCCCTTTAAAGAACTATGTCGTTTATGTCAGCTAATTAGGGCTGTTTCCTAAGAAGTCGGAGTGCATATGCATGAAAGGGCGAGGAATCGATACTCTGCATACAAATAAGTCAGATTTGTGAAATACAATGGTACACACAATTTAATTTCTGGAACAAGATCAAGATCCAGAAGTAGACGAACAACCAGAGCTTCCCGCTGGATTTTACAACCAGTGAATAATAATAATAATAATAATAATAATAATAAATAATAATAATAATAATAATAATAATAATTAGAAGAAGTGAAAGAAGAAAATAGAATAAGTAATAATAATATTTCTAGAAGAAGAAGAAGAAGGGAAAGAAGAAAAGGTACTAAGTTAAAAGTATCTACTCATTTTTATTGTTGTTTTTTCTGTGATTTTTTTTTACAAATGGGGGGTGGGGGGGGGGGTCCGGTGTGGTGTACTATCTTGCCTCCCTGTCGTACGAGTTCGAAATTGGGGACACTTGAAGTGGCATCTGCCGGAAAAGCATCATTTTTATTGTTGTTTTTAAAACTGATGCACACCTTTCCATCTGGAGCAGGACTTTATTCAAGTTTGCCAGAACACAGCCAAAGCATTTACGAAGAAGAAGAAGAAGATTTACAAATAATTTTCCCTGTTGCCTGTCTGCTGCGTGTCTGCCTGTGGTATCCTACGACGTTGTACATACCATCATTTTCTTGCCTACCATCTTCTCTTCCTTTTTGTTATTTGAAGACCCACCCTGGCTTCTGTCAGGGGCCCTGAATATAGCCGTGGCATAGATACGTCCTAGCCATAGATATGGCCTATCGGCTGAAAGAGGTTTCTTGGACCTCTCCACGGGTGATCCTCATCCGCATGGTGGCACTTTGTGTCACTCGGTGATTATCGCTTGTGTGATATCCGGGTGGGGTACAGCTACCTAACTATCTACCTACCGTGTGGGTTCTGGGGCTCAATTTCGGTAAACGAAGAATATACCCACTCCACCACTCCTCATGCCAACAAACATGTCGTAGGAAGCGACCAGTTATGAGCGTTCCCTTCAAAGTTCGAGTGAATTGGTAAGAGAGAGACAGAACCAACTGCCTGCATACAAGCAAGCCAGATCTATAAAACGGAAAAAAATCAAGTTCTCAATCAAGCCCAAAGTTCAGAAGTGGACGGGCAACCAGAGCTTTCCACCGGAGCTTACAGCCGATGAAGGCTAAAGAGAAGAAGAACTCGCAACCTTCAGAACGTGAGACATGCGGTCTACCATAAATAAACCGTGTTCCATAGTTGTGGATTTCAAGCTGCACGATAGACATGGCCAATAGGTCACCCTTTTCTTTTGGGAGGGGGGGGGGGAGCGGGTGCCTAGTTGACCACGTTCTTAGTGTGCTTGTTTCCATAGCGAGGCGCATACGCCGTCTGGAGGTGACAGGTTCGATTCCTGGCAAAGTAAAACTATAGCTTTTGATTTTTATGTTGTCTGGTGTGTTTCCTCTATCTTTCTACTTCTTTCCATGAGTGCCTATCAATACATTGTCGGTTACTTCATTGATATTTAATATGGTCTACCCAGGCTTTTCAACTAAGTTTACTTTCTGGGGCCATAATTTTTTTGATAGGGATCATTACAGGCCAGAGGCATGAGCACCAGCATTACAAGATCATGATACAATGAAACTGACAATAATCTGAGAGCCAGTTGATAGACCTCTGCGAGTGACATTTGGCCGTGGAACCCCTTTGTCAGGGAAACACGCATGTTACGGTAAATATGTGTTAACTCTACCAAGGAAACACGCGTGTTGCGGTGAACACGTGTTAACTCTGCCATAGAAACACGCGTATTGCGGTGAACATGTGTTAACTCTGCCAGGGAAACACGCGTGTTGCGGTAAACATGTGTTTACTCTACCAGGGAAACACGCGTGTTGCGGTGAACATGTGTTAACTCTGCCATAGAAACACGTGTGTTGCGGTGAACATGTGTTAATTAACTCTGCCATAGAAACGCGTGTTGCGGTGAACATGTGTTAACTCTACCAGGGAAACACATGTGTTACGGTAAATTTGTGTTAACTCTACCAGGGAAACACACGTGTTGCGGTGAACATGTGTTAACTCTACCAGGGAAACACACGTGTTGCGGTGAACATGTGTTAACTCTACCAGGGAAACACGCGTGTTGCGGTGAACATGTGTTAACTCTGCCATAGAAACACGCGTGTTGCGGTGAACATGTGTTAACTCTGCCATAGAAACACGCGTGTTGCGGTGAACATGTGTTAACTCTGCCATAGAAACACGCGTGTTGCGGTGAACATGTGTTAACTCTACCAGTGCAACACACGTGTTGCAGTGAACATGTGTTGAATCTACCAGGGAAACACGCGTGTTGCGGTGAACATGTGTTAAATCTACCAGAGAAACACGCGTGTTGCGGTGAACATGTTTTAATCCTGCCAGGGAAACGCGTGTTGCGGTGAACATGTGTTAACTCTGCCACAGAAACACGCGTGGTGCGGTGAACATGTGTTAACTCTGCCAGAGAAACACGCGTGTTGTGGTGAACATTTGTGGACTATTATTCATGCGAGAAAACCTTATCTCTAATAGGAATCAGGTGTGCGTGTACAGGATAATCGCAGAGAACCGAGAGGATAGCCTAGTGATCGACGTACAGGCAGCCAACCTCGATAAACACTGCAACAGTTACCTGGCTGTGTTTCACGGTATGTATGTATTTGTGTCTGTCTGTGTGTCTGTCTGTCTGTGTGTGTATGTGTGTATGTGTGTGTGTATGTATGTGTGTATGTATGTATGTATGTATGTATGTATGTATGTATGTATGTATGTATGTATGTATGTATGTATGTATGTATGTATGTATGTATGTATGTATATATATATATGTATGAATGTATGTGTGTATGTGTTAATGTGTGTATGTGTGTGTGTATGTGTGTGTATGTGTCTGTATGGATGGATGGATGGACAGACGAATGTGTGTGTGTGTGTCTGTATGTATGGATGGATGGATGGATGGATGTATGTATGTATGTATGTAAGTATGTATGTATGTATGTATGTATGTATGTATGTATGTATGTATGTATGTATGTATGTATGTATGTATGTATGTTAAAAATATCATAACAACAATGCAACAAAGCAGACCAGAGATGCCTTATCTCTTTTAAGTATAGATGATACCTAATGATACCTGGCCTAGAGCAATCCTAATTATACTTGGCCTAGAACAGCCCTGATAATACCTGGGCTAAAGCAACCCTGATGATACCTGACCCAAAACAGACCTGGTGACATTTTACCTATACAGCGCAGGCCGCTTAAGGTGATCTCGGATGTGGGAAGTTTCTGTTGTGAAGAACAGTTTGTTTATCCCCGGCAATTTTTCTTGCTTGAACTCCTATCTGGATTATTCAAATAACTGTTTCTTGATTTGCTGTAAATTCTCGTTATCAGATCTGCACTGTATCAACCCTAATTCTGTATGACATACAGCAACTCTAACTACAGATGACCTAGATCTATACTGATGACATATGGCCTATACCAACTATGATGACAAATGATACAGAGTAAATCTGACGATTTTTGACATTTAGCAATTCTTATGACACATGACTATAGAAACTTTAATTACATGACCTTTAGCAATCACTCTGATGACATATGACTGGAGCAACTCTGATGACATATGACTGGAGCAACTCTGATGACATATGACTGGAGCAACTCTGATGACATATGACTGGAGTAACTATGATGACATATGACTGGAGCAACTCTGATGACATATGACTAGAGCAACTCTGATTACATATGACTGGAGCAACTCTGATGATGAATGACTAGAGCAACTTTGATGACATATGACTGGAGCAACTCTGATGATATATGACTGGAGCAACTCTGATGACATATGACTGGAGCAACTCTGATGATGAATGACTAGAGCAACTCTGATGATGAATGACTAGAGCAACTCTGATGATGAATGACTAGAGCAACTCTGATGACATATGATTGGAGCAACTCTGATGACATATGACTAGAGCAACTCTGATGACATATGAATGGAGCAACTCTGATGACATGTGACTGGAGCAACTCTGATGATGAATGACTAGAGCCACTCTGATGATGAATGACTAGAGAAACTCTGATGACATATGACTGGAGCAACTCTGATGACGAATGACTAGAGCAACTCTGATGATGAATGACTAGAGCAACTCTGATGACATATGTCTAAAGCAACTCTGATGATATATGACTAAAGCAACTATGATGATATATGACTAGAATAACTCTGATGACATATAACTAAAACAACTCTGTTGACATATGCCTAAAGCAACTTTTGATTACATAAGGTCTAGAGTAACTCATCAGAGTTGTTCTATCTATGATTATCTCTATTTTACGCAGTAGCCGTATCTATTACTATTTATACCGGGATGTATGTTACCTTGTATGTGTACAATCCTGATATGTTTGCGTTATTCCCGATTCTAGGAAGGTATGAGATTATGTCGACAGGATTTCCAGCAGGTCGGATTTGTGAAGAAGACAAGCAGACATTCCGAATCCATGGTTCCGTGGCAACAATGGTGGCTGTCTCCGGGAATGTTGCACGCCCGTATGCCTGGAGGGTGTCCATCTACGTAGAAAAGTCTGGCCATTCTACCGGAAACACTGTCACGTTCAGCCTAACAGTTCTTATTTTGATTCATGCCACGCAACTGTTTGTTTGTAATGCTTAATTCAAGACGTAAGTGTTCTTTCTTTTTTCTTTCTAGCTTTTGTCTATTTTCTGCTTTGTGCCGCACGTTAAAAGATAATCGGTTTCCGAGCTAGGGCACGCTCGGTCGCCCGGTATGCTGGTGGAGTCTCAAGATATCAGGGACTCCTTTAATCTTTATTCTTCTTGGTCGTCTCCTACATCTTGGTGTTTCTACTTTCATGCTGTGTGCTGTCGTTGCTGGCATCTTTGGATTCATTCTCATTAAATGGACAAACCATTTTAGTCTTTGTTTTTTATTGAATTTAATCATAGGCCTTGATCCAATAGTTGTTGTAATTTTTTCGTTTTTTACATGATCTCTAATAGTTTTTTCACAGCCTTTCTCAAATATCTTGTTTCGTTCCTCACACGCTCTCTTCTAGTTTCGTTCACGGCCTTGCTCCAACATCTCATTTCGCAGGTGGTTAGTTTTCTTTCGTGTTCTGACACTGACAGCAAAAGGTTGGTATGAAGACTGCATTTATAATTTAACTGACGTAGTAGTGTTCAGTTGCATATTACCAAACTACCACCAATAGTATCGTCATTATATGTGGCATATTTTAAAATTTTACATGATATATTTAACACAAAATCATGTCTTTGTAGAACAGATAGCGAGACAGTTTTAATTTATCTGCTTCTGCTTTAGACAACCAGATGTATCAAGGTAGAGTTGGTGTAATTGTTAGATGTGAGCTAATTATAACTTCCTAGGAGGTTGAACCGGATATCTGCCTTCTTGGATTGGCAGTCAAAGGTGTCAAATGTAGCAGATTAAAAAGAGGAAGGGGGCATTCAATTATTTAGCGAGAGAGAGATTTTAGAAAAGAAAAAGGGTAGAGATGTAAACGTTCTGAAATGTGTGAATAAAACATATTGTAGGAAGTAAAGGCAGCCAGTGAGTATCCATGCCTCCACATTGATTGAGTGCGCTAATTATCAAGTGCAATATATATTATCCACATGACATGAGGGGTATTTCTTTTCCTACATCGACTTATTTTGTAATATTATTGTAAATTTACCTAACCTGACACTGAAGACCTTGACAGAGCTGGACTGTCCAGTATTTACTCGATTCTAAAACAATCACAGCTTCGCTGGACAGGACATATAGTCCGAATGCCTGACCACCGACTGCCAAAGAAAATGTTATATGGTGAGCTACAAAAAGGAAAAACGCTCTCAAGGTGGACAGAAGAAACGTTTCATGGACAGCCTCAAGACCTCACTGAAAGTCTTCTGTTTTGTCTTGTCCACAATTGCCTCACAGCGTAGTGGGGAGTCGCAGTTTTCTATCCTGGGCCAGGTGTGTTGCACGTGTTGTTGTTAGTCCGTGTTGCCTCAGGATCTCTGATATATTGTCTATCCATCGTACTCTCGGTCTGCCTCTTGCTCTAGGGCAGTAGTGCTGTTCGTTGTATGCTAGTAGAGTCAGTTGGTCGGTTTGCATTCTCATCAAGTGGCCAAACCACTCTATTTGTTGCTTTTTTATGTATTGCAGGCATGGTGTGGTTCCTACAATTGCTCTAATGTTCTCGTTTCGAACTCTGTCTCTCCTTGTGACATTGGCAGCCTTACGTAAGCATCTCATTTCGCACGTCGTGATCTTTTTCTCCTGTGCTTTTGTTAGGGACCAGGTTTGGCATTGGTAGCAGAGGGTTGGTATAAACATGCAATTTATCAGTTGTCGTTTTAGTGCCATAGTGATGCTTGGATGTTTTAGCAGTGGGGAGAGTTGGTAAGTTACTGCGTTCGCCTTTTGACATCTTGCCTCAAGTTCCCTATCAATTCTTCCATCATCTGTCTTCTGTACTGATCCTAAAACCTGGAAAGTCGCTGCATGTGACAGCTCATCCTGGCGCTTCCCTTATTCACCCAGGAGCTGTGGCTCATGAAGCTGCTAGAACTGAAGCAGCAATTCAGATAAGACAAGCCAGGAAACACACATAAGCAACTCACCAGAGAAATACGGCTTCAATTCCCTGTCCTCACTGCACAAGAACTTTCAGTGCTAGAACTGGCCTTATTGGCCATCTGCGCACTTACAAAACATAATCCAGTCACAACTGATTGACGAATAAAATTTAACCGAATTTGAAGCCTATGTATAAAGGTGCTTCATGACTTTTTAGAATAAACACATACACATACATGCAGGCACACAAGTATGTGAAGAGGTACGCACGTGAACCTCCCATTGAAAGAAGTTTCCCTTAAAACACAATTATGTTTTGCTATTGCTACGCCTAGTTGTCTAAATAAACATCTTTATACTTTATGCTTTAGCTCATAACTCATCATTATTATTATGTGCCTTGCTATATAGCGTAGGCAGTACATTTCTAATCGTCTCGACATTGTCCTGCCATTGGATCAAGATGAACACAGACGAGAGAGTGATCATCGAATTGGGCAACTCTTTATTATTTAAATCCAAGTCTTTGCGCAAGTCACATTCATCCAGCTATCATCATCATCTTGGATGAAAGTGATCTTCATCACACGTGATGGACGAACTACACCAGTCAGTGCAGGATTTAGGTATAAGATAAATAAGCTACTATAGATTAGGTCATCACAGCAGGGATTCTAGAAACACGCAGTAAATCTTTCAATGACAAAATCTGTTAATGACCCAATCAATGATTCTGCGTTTGGAAAATCAAGAAAAAATATTTTACGGTGTAACTTAAACCCTTATAGGGGATAATGTAATTTCTGTGATTTTTCAAACACTTTCTTTATTTTTCTTTTAAAATACCCCCCAAATAATCGACACTAATATAATTCCATTATTGTTATATTTTAAAGGCGTAGGGGTAAGGGGTTAAATATATTCATACCCACCACGTCTACACACTATGCAGTCAGTAGCAAAGATGTTCTACAGGCAATGTCCAAAAACATCATTTCAACCGAAACATGAGAAGGTCGGGAAAATGGTTTTTGTGGGATGAGGAGCCTGAAATCATAATTGCTTGAAGTAAATATTTACAAAGGATGGTGGCATCGACTTTGAGTCAAATTATCGAATAAATAATATAAACGAGCGTGATGTATTTTATCAGTGGGCAGTAGCGTTACTCACCCTATTGCAATCATTCAGGTCATCATCATCATTAACCACTTCTGCCGTAAGCGACATGGGAAGGAAATTTTTGCGATCCTGTGCACGTTGGCTGCCACTGGCTATTGTCATGCCGTGAAGGCGTATAGTGTCTTTAATGTTGTCGATCCATATTTTCGCGGCCGTCCTCTTGCTCTTGTATCTGATCTTCTGATTTGTAGTGCCTGTGATGGTATTTGATCTTACTGCATTCTAACGAGATGGCCAGACCACTTGATCTGCGGTTTCTCGATGAATCTAGTACAAAGTGTAGTTCCCACAATTTGCCTGATAGTTTCATTATTCACTCGATCTCAGGTATATCTTCATAATAAAGGTTGGAGCAAATACACTCCAACACTGTCTCTTGTACTGGTTATGTACACTGTCAGATTGCTATTCACATCGCTTTGTTTTTCTCCATTCCACACTTGTATCGTCTTCTACAGATTCACAACCTTATAACAAGAAATGCATTAATCAGATACTCCAGTTGAGTATACATACAACGCTTTCAGTTTTCTTTATAACTGTTCAAACCAATATTCCGTGTGTGAACCTCTATTCTTCTGTAAGTACTAACCGACATGTCATGTATGGCTGTCCTTCTGATATTTCATCAGAGTAAACCAAAGATATCTGGTAACATATTTGTTTTACATAAGATACATTTATTTGGCAAATGATACTAAAACTCAAATGATTTTATTTGTAGTTACCTCCCTCAAGCATTTGCTGCCACTTTCGGCGACCGAAAGATTTCCAAGAACTGCACACAGAATTGTAGTCAAAAAAGTTGGGTGTTTGATCATAGATACTGACCAACACGGGAGCCGCCGTGGTGTAGTGGCTTGACGCTCGCCTGCAAAACTAAAGGTCATCGGTTCGGGTCCTGACCTATTTTAAAAACCAAATGGACCTTGGCTCTCAGGTCGACCCAGCTTTGAGTGGGTACCAGGCACAGTCCTGGGAAATAAAGGCGGCCGGCATGATGCTGATCACAACACCCATTGAGAGCTGATTGATCTATAAAATATAGGTCTAGTCCTATAGCCTAATACGCTTGAAAACGTGAAAAAGTGTCCTTATACATTTTGTTGGTCAACGAATAGTTAACTGCTTCTGAATATGTTTATCATCATATTCTGACCTCACTTGTCTCAGATGTCTAGCAGCATCCTGACATTGTTACATACATACAATGTGTGCGTTCTGCAGCTGAAAAAAACATATATTGTGTGTAGTGAGAATAAAACATGTCTACAATGAATTGTATACATTTTTATTTACTTAGCTGACATTTTCAACACTTTCTGACCGGTGGGGGGGGGGGGGGGGGGGCATGGTGTCCGCCTCGAGTGCTAGAGGTCCTGGGTTCAAGCCCCGGTGAAGGCTGGGATTTTTTCACGTAGATTTCTAGTAATTTCCCCCTGGTCTCTGGGTAGTAAGACCGGACGCCCGTGTGTATTGTTGCGCACGTAAAAAATCCCTTAACAGTTGGAAATCGAAAAAAAGTAGCCTAACGGTACCGCCCTGGCAAAATTTGGAGATACAAATCTACCCAAAGTATTTCAGAATCCTTGCCGGTGCTACAGAGTTCGTGCACTGCGCTGAGAGACTTTGGACTCAGACTTGAGTTAGAAGAAGAACGGAACACTAATGGATTACACCCGTGGGCCATGATGTTGATCCGTTAAATAAACATAAACATAAACTTTATCGTCATCATGTAAGTAAAGTAAAGGACCCCTTTCCACACTTTCACGCGCATTGGGCATATAGGGCTAGGCCTATATTTTGTAGACCAATCGGCACTGGGTGGGTGATGAGGTCAGCATCGCGCCCGCCATCACGAAGAAGGGCCCCAT